CAGACGTTGAGAAACCCAACAGACGTGATTTTGGTAGTTTATGAGACTCATAAGCTTATGTAACCGATATGTTGGAGTTCGGAAACCGGGCATAAATGAATATTTGTAGCCTTCTTGTTTCAACTCCTTAGGAGGAGTATATGTCACCCTAATCAAATGGGAAAGGGGATCAAGTGGCACATGGTTTTGGGGCTATTTGATATCTTATTTATTCATTATTTTACTCCGACAAAAATAACTTTATTTGCGAAAGAGAAATTTCTACAATAAAATACATCGGATCTACTTACGCACGCACTATCTTATCAGTTCTTCAAAACGTTGTCAATTTTCCTGTAAACAATAACAGTCTGGTTTCGAACTCCACTCGAACATTTCGGAAACCTTCACCGAGAATTGACCAGCATTCTGCTGCAATTCGCCTTAAAAGACCAACAATATTAGCAGGTTGTGTTTTATGTACTTAAAGATGCCCCCAAAGAAAGAAGTCTAAGGGTGTTAAATCCGGAGATCTTGGGGGCCGCTCAATTGGTCCCCTTCTGCCAATCTGGGATTCTCGTTCAACCACTGTCGGACCGGAAGAAAAGAATGTGGGGGAGCACCGTCCTACTGGAATGTACCCTCTGCGTCAATTCGAGTTTCTAGCATACTAAGCATATTAAGATACAGATCACCCCTGAAGTTGACTTCAATAAAAATTATTAATATAAAAATAAAGATCCAATAATGGGATTTCCAAGAATACCAGCCCAAACGTTAACTTTTTGATTATATTGTGTATGCTATTATTTCTTATTGTTCTTTCAGTGCTTTTCTTACAGTCTAGTGTGATATTTCTGTCTGTTCTGCTGCCGTGGAACATGGTGGGCGCTGCAGAAAATAATCCCAAAACCTCAATTGCTCCTTCGTTCATCACTCGTTACTTTTTTTTATATTACTTTCACTGAAAAATAATGCCGGCCTTTGGGCGCACTTTTGATCCTCTCCATAATTGAAAATAATTTCAGTTCTTTCTTCAAGAGAATAAACCATTCTCATATCGTAATGCACTTAATGAAAGTTATCACTGAGCAGCTCAACAAGCAAAAGCGAATTAACAATTAATAGTATTCCTGTTTTGGCTACATCTTTTAAATTTGCTGCAAAATGTAATGATAAACAGCGCATTTTTTTGAATTTCTTGATAGAATAGTAAGGCTTTTGTGGAATTTCAGAGACAAAAGATCCAATGAACGCAAATTAACTAGATACTCGTAATACCATCGAAGTAGTACCATCGTAAAATTAACGTGTCTCCAATTTTTCATATTTTTAACTGTAAGAAATAAATTAAGGGCGGAAAGTTTTCAAATTGACACCCAGTATGTGATTCCCAAAATCCAGTATAATTCAGTGCGTGGAAAAAATCAAGGTATAGTTGCGATATCACATATTTTCTACTGTAAACTATTAAAGTTTTTAATTTTATTTTCCGTCAAACACGAATTTGCAGATTGAAAATTCACACCTAGAAAAGTGTTTTTGGTGTTTTAAAATATAGATTTGGAATGGTGCCCACCGAAATGTTGTGAAACTTGCAAATAGTGGATTATTGCGGATCAGTCAGATCTTAGAATAAAATATTTTTGGTACAATTTTTAAATTTTACAAGATTATATTTGTCTTGTTTTTGGAAATATTCGATTTACAAAAATATGAGTTTGTGTCTTTTGATTTTCTAAAGAAATTAGAACTGATAGACTTAAAATAAATATGCAATGTATATTAAATGCGTAATGTATCCAATAACTTAACTGGATAACTGTTGAAATGACGCTTAAGTTATACACAACCAATTATTTATGTGGGCTTGACACACATATCCTGTTGTATTTTGACCTGCTAAAATCCGTTTGACTCTGTCAGGTCAGGATCAAGGTGATTTTAAGTTAAATTGAGAAAGAACCATTTAGGCGGGAAAAATCTGTACATTTTGTTCGAAAGAGACGAAATAGACTGATTAGATTCAGTGCAGCTCTTGCTTATCGAGATATTTGCAATTTTTTGAAAACCATATTTTCTCCATTTTCGCGAAAACCATGAAAGTCGGAAAGTTGGAAAAATACCGTTGTATTTTATAAAGAATAACTTTTTTCGATAGGAAGCGTCGTTTTCGAGACAAAAAATAAAATGTAAAATTTCGAAAAAATCGCAAACCCACCAACATTTTTTGCGAAAAACTTTTTATTTTTTTTCGAACTATTTTTTGACAGGTGGTTAGATATGGAAAAGTTGCATGACAAATCGACTTTGGTTTACCTCGCTTTAACGTCTCTTTTGAACAAACCTTACAGATGTATAAATGTTTTTCCGCCTAAATGGTTCTTTCTTAATTAGACTTAATCCTGACCTGGTAGAATCAAACTGATTCAGCATGTAAAAATACTACAGTGTCTGAACACCCGATAAAAAAAAATTTGGTTGCGTGGCTGTGTAATCATCATGCGAGCATCGTCGTATATTATTTCATTATGGATAATGCTGATATTATGTGTTAACAGATGTGGCACAAGTTGCAACTTGATTGCTACACCTTTTTGAAGTCAAGAAAAATGTCATTTCCATATAGCAAATAATCCAATAATCAATCCATAAACCAAGCAATTCATAAAACTTTAAAGCCGACTCACAATTCAACCCCCCAGGTCGACTCAAGTCGCCTTCTACGAGTGATTACAGATTAGGTAAATTTACAGAATAATTCAAAGTTCCGTTTTCCGAAAGCCTGAGGTGTCATAAACCGCGAGCCAATTTGTATACATTGTAGGCATTTTAAAGTGAAAATGGTTTGTGTTAATCTATTATTTTTAAGGAATTTTTACTTAGTTCGGTTCGGTACTGGTCGAATTTTTATTTTCTCCTACATTTTTGTTGGGCATATTTATAAAGAAATTTTGTACATATCTATTATTTCTCAATATACGTTAATAAATAATTGTTCATTTAATATTGCAGGTGTCAAATCAGGACGCCCAATTTTAGGAGTAGGAGCTCGATTACAACGGAATCGAAATCAAAGTGACTCTTACGACATCTGGGAGGCGGAGAAAAGCAATTTGGAATCAGCTGCCTGGATCACAAGCAGATCGACGCTGAATCCGGAATCGGAAATCTGGCACACGAACAAACCCCCGAAGGAGGGTCCAGGCGATGTGAGTTGGAGGGATAGAGACAGCAAAAAGGTAAATGACCAAAGAATCCAAAGGAAAGACTGGGATAAAAAGAAAGATCTACCGAAAATGAAGAAGGGTTGGGAACATGATGATCGCTTTGATACTGATTATAGATAAATTTTAGTTAACAACTTTAAGTAGTAACGGTTTAAGTGCTTAGGGAAATCACATTATAGACTCTAGATAAGGTACAATTGCATGATTTTATACTCTCGAAATCACCATTAAGCTGAATTTAATTTTTTAGTTTTTTATATAGCACATCTACAGAGCAAGTGCAAATAATTTAAAAGGTGTTTTATTTTTGCACTTTACTTTATTGGGAGCTGCCACGCTGTAATCTTTAAAACTATGTATCCCAAAATGGGTTAGAAAATTATTTAAACTTTAAATTAATTAAACTAAAAATTATTAGCTTAGGTAAAAATGAGTGCATTTGATTCTAATTGTCAGGAAATGAGTAGCTTTTAAGATAAATGTAAACAATTTTCGATTTTGAAGTCAACACCAACAAAAGTTGACCGTTAAGTTATTGGCAGTTTCTTCGAGAAGGGGTGAGCAGCTCAAAGAATACTTGCAGTATGTAGAAATATGTAATTTGTGCTCTAAGATTAATAAAAACGCGTACGTGTTTTACACCCAGCTAAACTAGTTTTGACTTCATTTGATAAGCCAGGACTGGATTGAATATATGAGCGAAATTTTAGGTCTTGGCGATGACTTTCCGGATGAAAATATATAAACATGTTTTCCCACGATTCTCAAAGATAATTTAACGTTGTTTCAACACCCTAAAAATATAATATTTAGCATTTAATTTTCCAAATTAACGTTATTTTGATCGTAGGATCGACTGAAAAAGTATGCCATCTTACTCAGAGTTTATAATGTTATTAGAATCAAATCAAATTATTTTCATCAATTTACTACTAAGACCCAATTTCTTTATGTTATTATTGATCATATTCTCATCGTACATGGAAAATATCGCTTGCAATTAAAGTCTGGAGAAGGGCTGCTCCGGAAATAATGGCGTAACTATTTCAAATATATCTTCGGGTTTAGTCGCTGTAAAGCAGAGAAGTTTTAACATAATTGTTTAAACAACAATTAATAAAATTTTTCTCATAATTTCAATGCACTATTTATGGTATTAATGTTAAATTTAAACCGCATTTAAAATCAAGGATAAAACATGTTCTACAGAAGAGCATGCTACATATTTATTAGAGATGAGAAAGCCACTCTTAGCTGCTCACCCTGCGCTTGTACATAATTTAATACCACATATAAACGACTGAAAAAAAAAATAGTCTTTTAGTCCCAGAAATTGTAACCCATTTACATGATTATAAATTGTTTTTCAATTAATTATAATGTGGTAACATAAATTAAGTATCTGTAGTTATTATTACATTCGTGTATATGTATATTCGGAATATCGAGGTAAAATTGGAAAACTCGAGAAAATCGCTTTAGCATAATGTACTTACCAGTCTTATGTATGTATTTTTTTACATTTGGCAATTCGGCGTAAACATATTTTCGTAAAAATACGCTGAGCGTCTTCAATTTTATGAACCAAATGGTTATTTTAAAGTTATAATTCCAGTATTTGGTAAATAATATTACATATACGATGTGTGTTCAACTCTCGGTTCATTTAATTCGATGAACCATGTATCGGTTGATCATTTGTCAATATATATTTAAATCTTTTTTATATACTATTTCAATTTACAACATAGAACCATGAACTAAGCAAAATGCGTCCATAATTTTGGTATCCTAAGATTTTAATTAACTTTTTAGTTCCAAAGTTTAATCTTGCACATGGCATTCATTTTATTAAATGATCCGAAATTTATATTCTAAACTTTGATGATGATCTCTTCGGAAAATGATCCGTATTGTTTCCTGTATTATTTATCGAGGATATGCTATTAGCTTCAAACCAAAATAAAACCACGTCTTTTTTTCACTTTTTACTGGATCTTAAAATTGACTTAACCAGTTTGATTGTATCGATTTTTAACATAAGTGTGCTTTACTGTTATAAATAGTCTTTGACAACTATGTACAATAGTCAGAACGAACTAGATCAGAACTGCTGTTTTAAGTAAATTCATACACGTTCGGGGTGGTAGTAGCCATCCTGAACAATACAAATGTTTTGTAAACACTCTTATAACTTACAAGAAAAATGGGTGGAAATGGATATTTAAAACGTAATTCTAAGTTCAAAGCGAAATAGAATAAATGTTAAATTGACTTAAAGATTGCGTGGATTTATTGTCGCAATATCGGTTTACGAAATGAACATTAAGCGAGAGCAACTGATGTGTGTATATATTTGTAATCATGTTATAACTTTTCCTACGCCCATTTTTTTGCAAGCTTTATTTTATACCGTATTTATATCGTAAATATATTTGAAGTATAGTTATATACTCAAATCATATTAGACATATAATGGACAGGACATATGTTATAGCTAAGTCTACTGTTGTCCAACAATTGGAAATTGGTGTTTGAAAACAAATTTTATAAACGATAGGGGAGTTTATAAGTTTATACTTTTATTTTGCGTTTAAACATTTATACTTGCATGTGAGAATATAACGTGGACTAGACACCTCAAATGACTTAATAGTTTTTAAATTGACATTCATTTTATGAATGACATGATAGTAATCATCTATGTGATAAGCCGAACTAGATTATATAACGTAGTACATAAAACCTATGTAGCCAATTGCCATAAGTCTTTTAATTAAAGGGAAAGTGAAAGGTGCTGTTTTTATTTTACCCCTGTAAATGCTATATTTGTATACCACCAGTTGTTGCAGGTTTGTATTCTTTAAAAAATATTACATTTTATATACTGTCGATAGTTTACTAATCTGATATTGATACATGTACATAGCACATATGAATTACCAAACTAAAAATAACAATTTCAACAAAACGAAGATCAACAAAAAAACATAGTGATGAATTTATATACTGTTCATTCCGCCGCTTTGAAGTGTCGCTAATTTTTACGACCGAACAGAAACGGAACGAATACTAGTTAACAATTTTAAAGCTTTTTGATAAGTAATAAAGAGTAACTTTCGGAAGTAATAGAAATAAAAAGAAAATGCCTCAGAGGAGATAATTATAATATTGTTTTACATGCTAAGCAAAATGTACACACTAGTTGATTAGGAGTATATACGGAATAAAACAAAGAATAACTCCTCTGGACCATTTTTAACTACGCTCCTAGCTAAGTCCAGTATGTGTGACTGGAATATCATAACTTACTAAAAATATACAGTATAACCTACATTCTGCCTAAAAATAAATATCACATATAGTTTATTATTAGCTCGATATATTTCCATGAAATCACGTGAGAGATAATCTACATTATTTCAGTATTATAATATTTATATCAGAATTTTTCTGCCTTGCGTTTATCTAGATAATGGTTTCTGTGATGTTTGGATATTTTCGAACGTTATTGATTAAGAATTGATACTAAATATTAGATTATTTACTTTAAAACTAGTGATTTTATTATTAATTGGGGTAGCAGTTATTTAAAAAGCTTATTTTTTTCATTCTGCAAATATTATTTTTGATAAGGATTTTAATTAGAGTTTAACATTAAAATGAGCAATTTGAAATTCTTATTTTATTATTATTATTATTACTTACTCATTCAATTATACAACTCGTGATGTATCCAAGTTGATAAACAGTTTAATTTCCGCGATAAATCAGATCCTTATTGTAGATGTCCGACTGTACTATTTTATTTTCAAGCATGAATATTGTTGTAATAAGTGTTTTATCAGCATGAAATGGTGCACGGGTTGACGTTTCTGTACTAAGATAGCAATTTTCTTGTGCTGGGGTAATTATAGATGTCAATAATATATAACATAATAATTAAATGGGAATTGCCACGAAACCAATTGAAAAAACTTACTCCAAGTGAATGCATACAATTAAGTGTCCTTATACAGTCAAAGCTCAAGAGATAAACTATTTAGCATAATACTTCATGGTGTCGTCGGCACTCAATGGAAACTTGAAGATTGTAAAATTGCAGCCTATTACAGATTGGCTTCAGCAACCGACTTGGTGCTAGTCTCAGTTGGCAAAATGACGTTGGCACTTATAGTAGTTACGTGATTTCCGATACTCAAAGCAGCCACTTTGGCGCGCTGATAGGCGCTAAGTGTATTCTGACCCAAAAATCTAAAAAATTAAAATAAAAACATAATGCGTAACGATAATGTATGTTCAGGTCCTTGAATTAAATATTGCACATTTCACCTGGAAATTTAATTTAAAGCCAGGATCTATTTAAATTAACACATTGTACAAAATTACCGATGTGTGTAACTCTAGTCCATTATCAAAATTGGCATTACTTAATTTAATTTTTTTTGTTAAGGCAGGTTTTACTGCCCTTTGGGACTTTTTTCCTGGGGAATTTTTGGAAGTTGGCGCCGTGCTGTTCAATTGACTTAATGGGTGCCGTAACTCAGTTCCGTTGCTGGGAAAACATGGGCTTTCTTTTAGTTGGCGGAACATAGTAGTAAAACGTTACTCACAGAAAATGTTGATCTTTCTTTGTTTTAGTTGTTTGGCTAACATCTGGCGGACTAAAGCGCGTAAAGCTTTAATAAATGAGTTAGAACTCATTAAGTGAGGAAGCCGCAGCAACTCAAAAGCGAAACTCACTTCAGTGTTACCCAGGCCTACTTTCTGCATTTTAATTTCACAGTTTTTTTATGGAATTAGTAAAATTATGGTTGTGTAGTAGAATGTCAGCACTAGCATCTGTCTAAGCGGCATTGAAAAGGTAGGCAAATAATTGTGATTTTGTCGATAAAACACTTTTATATTTACCTGATGCAAACGTATATGATTATGACTGCAACGCTAGCTGCTACCATTCTGATATACGAGTTATCATACAACTGGATGACTATCCATGCGCATGCGATAGTCATACAAATGCATGTCACAATTACGGCGGTACTACCCCAATGTTTGGCGGTAAATCCCTTGTCCCATTTCAGCTCGTTATTTTGGCAGATTTCGTATTCGTAGTTGCACACTTTGCATCGCAGAGGTTCGTTCGAAGCGGAACTGCTTTCCATTAGCCATCTAAAAGAGCGAAAATACAATTAGTAGTTTTAAAGACAAAAAATATAATCACAGGCTTCGGCATCATTCCACTCTAAGTGCCGTGTTGGGAAGTTCCCAAGGTAACATTCTTACTGATTATGGGCGGTTTTTGATCTGCACCAATAAACGACGAGTTTTGTCATTAACATTATGTAAATAGCTGTTGTTTTATCCGTAAATAAGGAAAGGGATCATTTTACTGACGTAAAATACATTTGCCATATCGAAGGGACACGAAGATGAAAACCAGGCAATGTTCCAAAATTTAGTTTCCATATTCCAATCACATAAATATCTATATTTCCATGTGTCTTCTTCTTCTTAGACTGTTGACGTCCACTCCTGGACGACACTTCTTTTGTAATGCAGTGTGTATATTAATCACTGTATAATTTGACCTTTTAATATTGAAGATGTAAAAAATGCAACATACATTCTTTTGAAAGTCAGACATTAGTTTTAAGAATTATTAGCTTCTACACTATGTGTAAAGTATGTAAGTATGGTATTCGATAACTCTATTAATCAAGATTCGCCGGGTTTGGTTGGATATATATTTTGTTTGGAGGCATTTCCACTTGCTACTAGCACTAGCGACCGCAAAATTAGACCAACATCGATACGATTGTGCGCGACTGAGGTACGCGAGCTAGAGGCTTATCATTTTTTTGTACTTAGTTCCTTTTTGCAAAGGTTTGCTCATGGGAAGACAAAACAAATCAAGTGATATAAACTATTTTAAACCTTCAATTAATACTTGGCATTCCTCTTGCGCGATATACATCAAGTGAATAAAAGTACGCAACAAGATGTTCGGTAACGGATCAACAGAAAGCCATTCTGTCAAATCACGATTGAAAAGAAATTATACTTGCTTGAATGTTTTTATAAAAAAAATGCAACTTTGTCACCATTTCGCATCTTATATTAAAATAGTTTTATTCCTTAATACAAATTTGACAAACTAAGTCTTCCAGAGACCATTTTTACCAATCAATTTTAAAATTTCAGAAATATATTCTTACCTTCTAAGACATTCATGATGCACGCTAGAAACGTCTCCTGTACAATCACATGGCTGAATTAACGGCTCATTTCGATCGCCGTCATAGCAAATCCAACACTCTCTTTTATCGAGAAAAGCTTCGTCATCTTCGGCACCTAAATTATTTAATATGATTATATTTCAATACAGCAATACTACAATAGTTTCATAGAGAATTAACCAATTCTCTTATAAATAATGAGATTTTTGTTGAAACTTCATGCACCTTATCGAACCGGTAAAATGGTGAATGTTTTATTGCGATCAGTCGGCGTGGAAAATTAGATTGGAAAATTGCCACTTAGAGAAAAGTGTTATTTAAAAAAAGCTCTAATTTCTCAAATATCTTAACTGAATGAAGCGTACGACTGCTTTAACAATATCTGTAATATTGAAAATGTAGTCACCTGTAGATGCTTGGGCTCCGTCAACTTGTGACAATTCGGTCTCGGGATATTTTTGCTGGTCGAATTTTGCTAAAAGCTTTCTTGGATTCAAAATCCATAGTTCGGAAGGTTGCATACAGTTCCAAAGCACTGCAGGAAACCTGCAATTATCAGAGAAAAAACACTTATATTCTGTTTTCCGAGAAAGTTTCCTCGTAGTGTAGTTATGTATTTTATATGTTTTTATAAATTTAACTTTTATCAAACGGACTTTGTATGTTTTAACGCACAACTTAAAATATTTGGAGTATACCACTAACGATTTCGTTACGTAAGATCAAGTTACAGAAACATTTTTATATATACTTACATATTATATTATTAATGCAACACGCGTTTACACAGGGTGATTCACAACCTTATGGACACAGAGCAGGGGTATGATCATGCCATTTAAGTTTTCGTTCTCAGGCCCATGGTTAACGAGATACAGGGTGTTAGAGTTTTAAAAAAATATTGGTATTTTCTTTTTAACTCCTGCAGTTTATGAGATCTTTTGCTCACATTTTTAACGTAGGCTACTGTTTAGACCCTTTACCCGTAGGTAAAAGCCAACTGGATGCGAACACCCTGTATCACGTTAACCATGGGCCTGAGAAAAAAATTAAATGAAAACTCGACTTGATTTGAGGTCCTCTACACGCCCCTGCTCTGTGTCCATAAGGTTGTGAATCACCCTGTATATATTATTAACGCTAGATTGAGACAGGTTGGCAAAAGAACGATAAATAAAAATTGAAGAAATCAACTAAATCCTTCGCTATTGGCAAAAAATAAAAAAGCAAAATAACAAAAGCCTCCGAAGACAAACTTTCCTTCAATCAACACAATGCAGCATATTGAAAATATATTTTTGAATTTAAATGAAAGAAAAAAGTACACAACCTGAGATTATAATAGGTATTCACTTAAAAATTGTCTTGAAATTTGTACGGGTGATGAAAATTGTAAGGAATGCTTTAATAAATAGAATAGGAATACTGCCAGTGTTAAAACATTTGTCTTTTTTTTCTACATTGTATAAGTAATTTGTAAGCGAAAAGTACTGAAATATGACTCTCACTTTACTTACTTTTGAGGACATAAGAGACAGTATTTCGACTTACCATATAGCCACGCCTATTTCGACAACTCGAAAAATAACGTCATGTAGATTGCGAGAATTAATTGGAACTTTCGTCTTCCAAAATTCGCTCAATGTTTCGGAAAATAGAAAACCAGCAATCACAATTAGCATCAAAGCCTGGCTCAATAAACCTAAAACATGATGGTAAATATTTAGATATGTATATTGCATTCTGCTAAAACAAAGTAATGTAAAGACTAGCCTAATTTCTTCGGTAGAATTTTATTGATTAATTTGAAACTCACGTTTTTAAAAAACACTTTATTTCAAAATTAATACAATATTCTTTATTATGTGGATTTGAATTGTGTGTGACCGAACCGGACCTAACCATAGGCTGTCTATGAACTGAGATTAAACAGACCTGACCATAGACTATCTTTAACTTTAACTGAATTATCGTTTCTGCCGTGGCTACTTTCATACTTAAATCATGCTGATCATAGCAGAAACGATACTACGTCTTATTTTAATCGCTTAGTCGGCGTAAGTGGCCATATAATTGTAGTAACATTTTAAATTGAGTACAATTTTGGAAACATCTGGGCACATTGCCTTCTTAAAAAAGCTCTTCAATTGGATGATAGCAACCAAAACATTGTTAGCCTCAAACAACTTTTTTGGAGAAGTCTGATCGATTTTACTGATATAATATTGTTCAACTCTTCGCAACTTTTATAATAACAAAAAGGGACAGTTGCCGACATTTCGGTTTTATTCGTCGGTTCGGTGGTTCACAAAATTAGGTCGGTGTTCGGCACCTCAATGACAACACAATGGGATAGCCTTCACCACAAAATTAGTTCGGTAAACAAATGCAAGAGGCGCGTTGTTGGCGGGAAGAAAAATGAAACTCGCCATGTGGCTGTCGTTAATCATCACTGTAATCAG